TTTCGAGCATGACTTCCCATAGCGTAGCTAATACTTCTGTCCCTGCAAACCCCTCTTCTCATACTGAGACAGCAAAGCAGAGAGAAGAAAACCCAGCTGACATTGAAACAGGACTCACAACCAGGCCTGAGATTTGGGGTCACTTTCTGACACCGTAATAGAGACACCGTAATAGAACAAAAGATCTAGACAAAGTTAATTGTATTTCAGAAGGACAGATATCATATGTTTTCACTCATATGTGGATCTTGAGAAACTTAACAGAAGACCATGGAGGAAGGGAAGAGAAATAATTTCAAACAGAGAGGGAGGAAGGCAAACCGTAAGAGACTCTTAAATATAGAGAACAAACAGGGTGGATGGGGGGTGGGGGAGAGGGGAAAATGGGTGATGGGCATTGAGGAGGGCACTTGTTGGGATGAGCACTGGGTGTTGTATGTAAGCAATGAACCATGGAAACTGACCCCCAAAAACCAAGAACACACTTTACACAGTGTATGTTAGCCATTTTGACAATAAATTATATTTAAAAAAGAATAAGAAGAAAGTTCAAAGCAAAGATTCTGACCACCATGGAGCAAATCTAGAAAGCAATTAGTCCACATTAAAACAGGTGATAAGAAGACTCCAAGAAAAATATCCGAGAGCAAGAATCCAATGGTTTTGGAGTAACAGAAGGTTTTGGGAAGAACATCTACAGCAGCATAAGAGTGGAATTTATTCCAAACAATAGATAAAATTCATGAGAATTTGGAAAGTATAGGAAATAGAAGGGGGGGAGGTATGTATTTCTTTTTCCAACAAAATCTGTCAAAACCAATCAGAAAATCTCAACCAAGCAAAACTAAACTTAACTGAAAATTGTGTAAGAAAGCAAAGATTCAAATAAAATGCATGAAACTAAGTCAGATTCTGAGCAATTAGTGGAAAGTGAGAAAGGGAGCATTTACCTGGAGCATTGACCTTCTGGTACCGTATACCTCATAATACTGGAGCCCTGGAGAAGGAAGTAAGATCTGAGAGCATTACCCGACTCAACAGTGAACAATATTTTTATAGTCAACTTATAGTTTATCAATCTGTTGATTATAAATGTACTGGCAAGCATGAAAGACCAGTTAGGACTAAAAAATGTGCTTAGGCATACAGCTGTAGTCTGCAGTTTATCATCCATTAAGAAACTCATCATCAAGTTTCTTTACTATACAGTATTTTAATGATATGACATCACCTTGATCAAGCTTTTGAAAGGTAATATTAATTAGCTTAACAAGAAGTGTGTGGAAACTATATAAGTAGAAATATTTTCTCAGAATCATGAATAAAAAGTTAATAAATTGAAAGGTAAACATTTCTATGTTTGGAGAATATTGGAGAATATTAGTTTTTCTTAGATTAACGTAATCTCAACAAATAAAACAAGAGGATGTTTTGAGGAGTTAATACGTAAAAGTAAATAAAAGAATTCTGAAAACAGAAGTTTATGGGGAACAGCTAGGAACCCTAGCTTTTTAAATTCATTACGATGTTTTAAATTCATTAATCAAATTATTAATTCGTTTTAATCATTATTAAAGTGAATGTACAGTTGTTAGGCAATTTGGAGTGAGATAGATTGATGGAAAAAAATAAAAATTTAGAAATAGAGCTGAAATTGTCTGAGTATTCAGTTTATGATAAGAGGTATTTCAGATTAGTGAAGAAAAGATAAATTTTTTTCAATTATATGTGCTGAGTCAGCTGATCATCTATTAAAAGAAAAAATAAGATTAATTCTTATCTCACTTCTTATACCAAAATAAATTCCAGATACAAACTGATTTAAATGTGACTTCTGGTTAAGCATGTTAAACATAATAAACTAAAACTACTTCATAAAAGTATGGGTACATTTATGTCCAATCATCCAGTGAGAGAAGTTTTTTACCTTAGATAAAAGAATAGCAAATTAGACCACATAGAAATGTAAAATTTATGTTCACAAAAATACCACAAATGGATTGAGGAAAATACTTTAAACATATATAACAGATAAAAGATACATTTTCTTAATTTATAAAGAGCTGGTAGAAACCATTAAAGAGGGACAAGAGGTCAACAGGATAGGAAAATGACGTTAAGTAGAGACAAGGAGCTCAGAGAAAACAATTTCCTCCAGCCCTTTGTTCATGGCCCCCTTCTTCCCCATTTAAGTCCTTCTCATTTTCATCATGACAATCACTTGCCATCATTTTCCCCAAACAGTTCTTGCCTCACCCAAGAGGAGTACATTGATACTTCTAACTGGCTCATGATATTTTACCACAATTCTCTTATATACCATGTTTTCCCTTTTCTTACAGTTGGTCATTTTCATCTTTTTCTCTACTCTTGATTATAAATTTCTCAGTAGAAGAAACTGTGTCTTCCTCATCTCAGTCCCCAACACATCAAGCCTTCAGTAACCACTAATAACCCACATTTAAATAAATACACTAAGCAGGCTTTCAAGGGACACGGATTCCATGGACAATATAAATATAAGTAAGTGTACTTGAGTCACATCTCCAACAGTCGTTGGGATTTAATTTCTGGATAAGATTTCAACAAAACTGACATAGCAGCCTTCATGCCAGGCACAAATTAATTTTCAGCCCGTAATTGAAATATTTCATGGCGCTACTTTTTGTTGGTTTATTCAAGGAAGCAGCTGGAAACACATGAATCGCGTTGTAACAAAGCATTGCTCTCAAATATAATTCACAGCATCTTACAACATGCACTTTCAGGTGGCTGAGCTGTGCAGAAAGGAGATTTTTTTTTCTTCTGAGACTCTGAAAAGAGTGGAAGATAACCCCTGTGTTCTTGCCCACATTGCTTATCTGCCAGCAACAGGTTACAATCCCATTGCTCCATGTTCCCTAACGTTTACTGAATGTATAATAGCTGAGTATTCATGAAAGCTAATGCAGTGGATGAAAACAAATTAATTTGGTTGGTGCCCAAGGCAGTTGAAAGGTACACCTGCATTTTTTGGTCTCTAGGTACCAAGAATAAATGTTGGATTTAATCACAAGCTGGCCTGTCATTTTGGGGGAAAGGAATTCATGTCGGGTGAAATTCTGTTTATACTGGTAGATGTGTTGACTCTTCCCCTTGTGCTGTTGAGTCTTGAGGATGTACACACACTTTCACATTGGTGACGTCTTCATTGAAGAAAATACAGCAGTCTGATATTTTTATGTGAATTGTCTTTGAAATTTGTGTTCCTTGTCTTTGGATGTAATAAATATGTGACAGAAACATACACAGAGGGAAAAAGCAATGTCCTCAATAAGTTTTGGCATTCTTAAGAAGTTAAATGACGCATTGCAAAATCTGAAGCGTTTTTCGGATGAGTTAGGACTAATATTCTCTTAGACGCCCTGGCAAAGAAAGTATTATATTGTCTTCCTTGGCGATGCTGAGTTCAAGCATCAATAACAGCCTACTTCATGCTTACATGAACAAAACACGTTGTAGGTAATGAGGTTATAAAAAATTAACTCAAGGAGATGTTAAGTGTTTCACACATAGACAAAGGATAGGTGGAAAAACTTATCTCCTAGTAAAAGAATCACTTACCAATTAATTGCTCCTTTGTTCAAATGGGTCCGCTTTGTGCTGGGATTGAATGTCGTACTTCTAAAACAGTTAAAATTTAAGTGTCCCTAGGAAAGGAAACTGCTAAGAGTGTGTACTGTGTGGGGTGCAGCCTGGAAACTAGTAGATTCAAGACCTCACTGAACATGGACTGCAATGCTTGGAAAAGAACTTACTTTGGAGTCATAATGACTCAGTGGTACTTGTTACTGCCACACGTTAATAGAGTGACTTTGAGCTAATCACCAATCATCTTTAAGCCTCATTTTCCTTATCTTCTAAAAAAAAAGGGCAGAGTAGATTTTCTGTAGGGTTCATTTTGTCTCTAAGATCCTTTCAGTGTAACAGGGCTTTTTATCTTGGGCCTGTCCATCTCTGTATTATCCTGGACCTTATTTCTTGGACTCTGAGAATCCAATTTACATCTTCATTGTACTAAAGCCTATAAAGACATTTTTAAAGAGTCACTGGATTACAATTGTCACTTTCTCCAGACATCATCATCATAATAAATCCTCATTAAGAAGCATTTATTGTTCACTAATGTATGTAAGATACACGAGTCAGAGATGTACATATAATCATATACTTAATAAGAAAAACTTGTAAGAATAGAACTAGCCAAAGTCTTTGCAGAGAAAGTATGAGTCTTTTAGCTTGGCTAGATTTTGTGGGAATGCTCTATTTTATTTATTTATTCATTTTTTTTTATTTATTTAGGTCTTGGCCTCTTTCATGGTCTTGAGTGTGCACCCTGAAAATAATAAATAAAATCATGAAACTATGTTTGTCTTTATTAAGTCTCTTGGTATGGTAATACCATTTAGAAATGTTTCTTTTTTAATGAGTCTTGTGTTTTTAATATAACTGAAATAATTTGATGGATGGGTACTATAAAAGTAAAATCAAGGCTATTATTCTCATATGTCTGTAGACAATCAAATGCAATTCGCTATAAAAATAAGTTGCACTTAGCAACAGAAAAAAAATACAGTTATTTGTAGGAAATGTTAAGCAACTCGTTAGCTTGCTTAGAGGAAAAAAAAGAAAGTCAAATAAAAAGATGTCTTTTTATTTTATTTTATTTTATTTTCTCAACAGTATTTACCACCAACAAGGCTAATATTAATTCAGGGTAATTATTATTAATAATAATTCAGGGTGATTATTTTAGTTTTCCACACTGAATAGCTAGATATCAGGCTTTAAGGATCTTTAATTCTCAGCTCTTTCCCCTCTGTGGAATTAAGGCTGTTCTCCCAATCAATCAGATAAAAATCAATAATATTGAGATCGAAGTCCTCAAACACCACAAACTAGTTTTAAACTGCATGTAAGCCTGAACTGGTGTTTAATGCCTCCATTCTCTTCCTCCATAGGCGTTTATGTCCATGTTCCAGATCCTCACCCAGGAAGGATGGGTAGACGTAATGGACCAAACCCTAAATGCTGTGGGACACATGTGGGCACCTGTGGTAGCCATCTATTTCATTCTCTATCACCTCTTTGCCACTCTGGTGAGTTTAGCATTTCTTGTCAATTATATCTTAGTACCGTAGTGGGGTAAGCATCAACCGGTTTCTGTGGCCTCTTTTCAATGTCAAAACGAGAGTCAGAGAACCAGTGTAGAGTAGTCCGGCCACATGAGGTTTCTTCCAGTCTAAATTTCTATGACTCCAACTGCTTGAGGAATTAGATTCCAAATTTTACTAAGAGGAGGGCTCCATCCTATATGCCAGTGTCTGCCTGAGGGAACACGAGATAAAACATAATGAAATCCCATATTCAAGTACATGGTTAACCATCTCTAAGTGTTCCCAGAACTATGTCATTATTATTGCTGCTGCTATTATTGTTATTTATAAGGTGGGGACACACTCTTCAGTTTCACTGCTTCCATTCCAAAGCTGACATTAAACTGAAGACCTTGACTCTAGGGTGCAGTTAGAAGTCAGCTCTGTGTTTCTGGGCTGTGTGGCTGAAAGAAACACATGGGAAAAAATTAAAACACAGAGTCACAAATATTGCAAAAAGCATCATGAAAACAAAATACCAAAACCCGGGAAAAATTGACTTCTATCACACAAGGAGAATTTTCTTTTCAATGCATGTGCATTAAACAGAAAGAAAAAGGTTGTGAAATATGGCCTTGACATAGTAAGGGATGTAATTCTCAGATCTTTCTAATGGCCAAAGTACATCCCCTTATAATAAATGTGTGTATATTTAAGAAGCAAACTTAAGCTCTATTATGTTAAAAGTTCTAGTGTAAGGACCCAAAATGTTATCCTTTATCAGAAACACATGAAATTAAAAAAACAAAAAACAAAAAGCCCTGCTGTTGCTAAAAAGCAGAACGTTTCATAATTTCATTCCTAATATTTGGAACAACCAAGGTAGGCAGTGTTCCCACTTTACAGATGATGAAACTGAGGCTTACAGATGATGAAACACACCCAACATCATGTACAGTGTAAATGCTAGACCCAGGACGTTCCCATGTCTTCCTGGTCTCATAGCCTGTGGTCAGGCAGCTACGTTGTTATTTCCTAAGATTGTGAAGTTTAGCATTATCACTGAAAATGTCTTCCTGGAATCAAACCTCTCTCCAAGAGTCACTAAAATAAGACAAATTACAAATGGGCACTAAGATTCCTTCCAATTCTAAATGTGAACTAAATAGGTGCTTCAGAAACTAGATGTGTTCAAGGTTGCATTTGCTATAGGCAGAACCTTTCTTTCGAAAGGGAGCACATAGGTCAAAAAGTGTATAGGGATACATTGTTACTTGGTGTAACGTTTTAGGTTCAAACCGTAGAACCACATAGAAATAGTTTTGGCATTTTTTACGTGGGGTGACTTTTAAAATATGCACAAAAGGAAAGAACCTTCTGCAGAAGGAATGGAGGCCTGGTTTCCAGAGCCAAATCCACCTGCACCTCATGACATTGGCCCTGAGGGCTTTGCATCCTGTCTTCTGGGACCTTTAAGTCTATCTCATTCATCCATCCATCCATTCATTCATCCATCCACACACCCATTTGTCAATTCAACTAATGTTTATTAAGTACCTACCCTGTTTAAGTTCCTGTATAACTATGGAATAGCTTGGAGACTATTGATCATAGTTAAAGGTAGGATAGATATGATTGAAATCATCTATGTATAGTAATAATCTAATTGTTCTTCTATTAAAACAATATATTTGTTTGCTATCCTCATGGCAGATGTTTCACACAAATTTGATCCTTTATTGAAAGTCTCACACAATACGAAAGCAAGAAGAAAAATGATTCGGCCTAGTAAACTGTTTATACCAAACCAACGCAACCTCTCTGTTGCGTTGTATCTGAAAATGAGGGTAACGATGCCCCACATACCTACTTTCCAAGATGCCATCTATATGGGAGCTGTATTTTGGGGGATGTTTTAGCCATGGGATAAGAGGGTGATCACAGCTATCACCAACACTGAGTTTAAATAAGATGTTGTGTGCATTTAAAGCTATACATTAATAAAGGCTAAACATTTAATATGTTCAGATGCTTAAAGCATCATTGATGCCCATTCCTAGACCGAGTCCTTCTCTGCCTTAATGTTTCCTTCTTCCGCCCGCACCATGTCTCCCAGATAATGACTGGGATGTATTTGGTATGAATCTATCGTCCAGTTTTAAATCATATTTTACTGAATTTAACATGCTATTAACTATAGGAAGACTCTTATTTTGGCTAAAATTAACAAGAAACAACAATTAAACCAAACACACATAGATAAGTTGCATGCCAGTTTTAGACTGTTGAAATGTAAAAATAAACGTGTGTCTAAAAATCCATGAAATGAAGTAGTTTCCCACATATATATGTATCCATCAAAAATATGTAATGTTTTAAATTTAAGGTTATAACCTACAAACAGTTTATACCATTAGTTTTTAAGATTTATATTAATTTTCCAGTTGAGAAGCTATGCTCCAGTGCCCTGATGGCTGTCCCTGGGAGGCATGTCCCTGTACACTTTTCTCACTGCTATGGCCACACAGCATGCTGAGGCCAAGTCATATTTGATCATTGTTTCTCTCCTTAAGATCATTAGTAGCAGCAATTTTCAGGGTAAATGGGATCAAACTCCACACACATTCCCCAAATACTGTTTTTGAAATCTTTTTATCCTAATGTACATAAAGTTCATTAGTATATATAATCATGAATATATGGAATATGACTGACTGTCATATTTGTTTATCAGTCCTTCCTGGTGGATATTTAAGTTGTATTCCAATGTTTTGCCCTCACAATGTTGCAACTAATACATGTATACATTGTGTCCACTTGTGTGAGTGTTTCTCTAGGTTATATGCCAGAAAGTAGAACTCCAGATCCTGGATCCTGCCCAGATGGCTCTATAGCATGGGTCTGCAAGCCCATATATCAAATCTGGTCCACAGGCTTTATTTATACAGCCCTTGAGCAATGCACAGGAGTGGTTTGTGCATTTTAAAATTACTATATAAGTACGCATAGAACATCATCAGTGTTGCCTCTCGGCCCTCAAAACCTAAAATATTCACTGTAGGGACCTGACACTTGCTGAGCCCTGTTCAATGGGCAAGCTATACTAGCTCACCCTCCCAAGTGCCGCAGTTGAGAACCCCATGTTCTTCCTTCCTCATGTATAGTTGACGTGGTTAGGCTTAAGATTATGACAGTCTGATGAGTTGGATGGTAGTATCACTTGGCCTTTAGCTTGCATTTTTGCATTTCAGTAGTTGTTGATAAGGGAGCACTTCTTCATATGCTTACTGGCCATCTTTGTGACCCACCCAATCATATTGTAAGCTTTACCTGTTTTTCTAAAAGCTAGTTGGTCTTTTTAGAATGCATTTGTCGGAGTACTACATATCCTGTGGGATAGTAGTCCCGTGACTGCTGTAGGAGTTGCAAATTTCCTCTGTTAGGCAGCATTTTGTTATTTCAATTTGTCTCTGATGGCTTTTGACATTATATTTTGACATGGTCAAAACCATCCGTTTTTCACTTACGGTCAATATTTATTCTGGATTCATGCTTAGGAAATTCTTTCCCACCCTGATGTGGGAAAAATATTCTCCTCTGTCTTCTAATTGTTTTAAATTTCTGGTCTTTAAGGAATCTTAACGTACTGCTTGTATATAGTGTGAGCCAGATAAAATACACTGCTGCAAGAAAACTCAAAGGTTTTTCTTAACCAGATTTATGTGAAGTGTTTTAAGCTTTGAGATATTTGGTTGGGTTCTCTGATTATGAAATCTAAAGCCAAAAGGACAACTACTCAGATTTTTTAAATTTATAAATGATTTTTTTAATGTTTTTAATTTTTTTAAGTTTATTTATCTTGAGAGAGACAGAGCAAGCTAGAGAGACAGAGACAGAGACAGAGAAAGAGAGAGAGAATCCCAAGCAGACTCTGCACTGTCAGCATGGAGTCCAGTGTGGAGCTCGAACCCATGAACCACAAGATCATGATCTGGCCGAAACCAAAACCGACCAAGCCTCCCAGGCGCCCCTATAAATGATTTTTTTTTTAAATGAGAGCTAATTAACTCACTGAAAGAAGGCACTCCACAAGACATGAAATCTGAGTGTCCCTTTCATACTATACTACCCAAAAAGTCTTGGGACCAAAGTCACTTTGCCAGTTCACTTGAGATTTTGCCTAAAACATGATCAGCAGTTGCTCTGCTTTTCTGGACATCCTCCAACCCACAGTCACTATGACAGGCTCTACAATGTTAGCCCAATCTGATTTAGCCCAGTTTTCCTGAATCTCAACTGCTATGTCTAAGTACTAACCTACATCCTGGCCAGTTTGGCAAAGAGCTCAATCCCTCCCCTTTTTGAGTCTATACCTAGTACAGAAGTAGGACAAGTAAACACAGACCAACCAGCCAACCAACAAACAAATAAAACCTGTGATTTAAGACCTACTGATGCAAGTGATAAAAGGCTGTGGCTTGCCTTCTATTAGGGCCCACATAATACTTCTGATTCCCGCTTATCCCAGCCCTACCTGATCTGAAATAGTTAAAATATTGGCAGTAAAACAGCTGGAGACAGTCTGTGGATTGACAGATAAAATATGTGGATGGAGGCCCTAGGCCTGTGTTCAATATGCATCACATCCCTTTAAAATCCGAACACAAGTTAAAATCTCCATTCCATAAGCCTGTCTTTAGGCTTGAACTTAATTAAAATGAGCATTTTTCTTAAATTGTACGCTTCTTTTTGCAAAATACTACAAAGCATTTTAATCCAAATGAAAAAAAAAAAAGTCCACATAAATATACAAGCTCTGATTTGTTTTTTATCCACACTGGCCAAGTCGTGCTGCACAAGCCAGGGAGTCCCTGATTTAGTCTTTTCAAGGACAGGCATATGCCAGGCAGCAAAATAAGAAAAAAAAAATGTTTGGCTGCAGTTTGTTCTGGAATAAAAAACAGCAGGCTATTCCATCGCCCCCTGGGGGCACCAATTTGTCAGCCCACAATGAAAATCAA